TGGTTGTTCTTGTGCCAAAGGTGCACTTTTTTGTACCTCAGCCTTCTTTTTTGTTCCTGACATTTTTCCTCCCATGTTTTTAGATGGAGAGGAGATCTGATAGTTCAGTGTTTTGCTAAGTTAACTTACCAAGTTCCTTTAGTTCCTAAAATCAGCTTTCTGTTTCCCGATCTTCCCTTCACAGTACCTGTTCCACATTAGCTGGCAATTTTCCATGCTGTCCCTACTTTACTGAAGTCCAAATAAGCTTTTCTGCACTGCTCTTGCCATTAAAAAGGAAAAAAAACCCAAACACTACAAACCAGTTGTTTGCTCAAATAGAGGTACTGCCTAGTCTAACTCTAATGAACCAGACTCAGCTTAATTGCAGCAAAACAGGAATTGTATTGCAGTTTCTGATTTATTTCCTAATTATTCTTTTCCTTCAAATCTACCATAAAACCTCATATATTTCTGAGGCCACACTCAAGGAGACATGTCCACTTCACCCCCTTTGCAAAATGACTGTTTAGCTTCTTCTCAGTAGCAACCCTTCTGTACCTTTATGTATTTCTTGGATTTGCTGTAAGTCTGTAAGTGTCCAGTTCACATGTCGCTTCTACCAAGGTTCTAGAAGCAAAACAGCTTGTTATTTTTGGAGGCAATGTCTCCATATCACTATCAGACAGTCCTTTCCTACACATTTGTGGTGGAGGACCTGGCCTTGAACACTTCCAGGGATAGGACATACACACCTTCTCTGGGCAACCTGTTTCAGTGCCTCACCACCTTTGCAGTAAAGAATTTGTTCCTAATATCTAATCTAAATCTACTCTCTTTTGGACTGAAGCCATTCCTCCCTGTCCTGTCCCTTACCAGGGACTGAGCATATTATTCAACCATTCAACAGTATAATTTTTTTTGTAGAGGCACTGACAAAGTCTTTGTAGGACTTAAAGAGCACAGTTGCCCATCTCAAACACCGTCACCACAGGACTTTGCCGTGAGATAAGAACAGAATGGAGTAACGGGATGGTGCTGATTCCAGGCCTGGCATAGCTGAGATCTGGTCAGCACATCCCGGGTAATGCATCCAGAGGAAAATTCTCACTGTGGCAAACTGTGTAAAGAAGCAACTGCTCATACACGTATCACTGGTCAAACAAAGATCACCCCAAGTTATGGGACAGATGCCATCTGCAACCATCAGCAACAGCCAAAGCCCCCCCAGATATGTCTTTGTGGATACCTCGAACTTGGACTGTAACTTAAGCCACAGCAGGAGCTTGAGGTAAGGTAAAGGTGGTACTATTGTCCAGGTGTTATCTCAGACCTAGGGGGAGGTTAAAAAAGCTGAGAGAGAATAATGAGAAGTCCAGGGTGAAGGCTGGGATGCTGCGAGGTCCACAGGAAGTGACTATCTTCTGCTTGATATCTCTCTCCCTTCTCATTTCTTTCTATCTCTCTACCTCACACTCATTGTTAAGTAAAATCCATATTATTGACTTATGATCATATGGTCTCATTTGCACCTTAATTTGAGCGGAGACATCTCTCAGTAACCAGATCTTAAGAGTGCTTTTTTTGTTATTTACACTCACATTAACATGGCTTTGTTTTATATCTTGGTCTCACTTTCACTCATACTGACACAAGTCAGAGGTATGTAGGACAGTAGGATGGGGAAGTGGAGGTACCTGTCTGTGGCCTCTATTTTGATCAGCAAAACCCTCCTCACAATGCATAAGTTATTATGAAGTAACATCCAGCTTCACAGTGTGAGAGCAAGAACTTTTGTTTTTTTGATTTTGTTTATTTATAAAGTCACTGTTTGGTAATTTCTCCCTGCCTTCAAATGCTCAGAGGAGAAATGGGTAATATTTGCCTGCTTAATGATTTAAATATTGACATGTGGCTTAAAAATAAGAAAAAAAACCCACGACAACCAATAACCAAAAAACTGGTAATGAGTTTTATGTTAACTGGAAAACAAGAAGTCTGGTGAAAATCAAATGAAGATGTCTTCAGGTTTATTAAGGCTTTGATCTGAAGTCCTCTACATTGCTGTCTTTCTCTGCCATTAATCCAGTTGACCACCAGTGTCACTACCTTGAGACACAAGTCTTTGCAATGCACTCTTATGCACAGTTGAACCAACAACAGGATATTTAGAAGCCTCTTGTGTCTTCTGGGGATGGGACCATTCTTTAAAGTGTTTCTTAAGGAAGACGGTATCTAATTCCATGATGATTTATACCAGAATTATTTTATGCCATTGCAACATCAAGGCCAGATGTTTTGGATCAGATGCCAAACAACCAGCAATAAATCATTTATTAATAACTTACTAGTGTCATTTCTTTAATTAAGAATTAAAATGTGTTTGGTTACCTATAAAATATGAGTGTCATTTTTGGCGGCAATCCTTAATATTGCAGACCTTACTAGTCTCCAGATTCTCTTTACATTTGGACCATTAACTTATAGTTTGACCTTCGACTGAGAGTTCCTTAGGTTTCTATGACTTTTCTATTCCGTTTTTGTTCTGAGCAGTTAAATTTAGTGTGTACACAGAAAGATACCTTTTTATGACTTCTAGAATATCTCTGACATTCAAATGAATTTATGAAAATTTAGGGGATGAACAGGGAATGGTTAAAATAAGGTGAAGACCCATCTCCTCTATGTCCTTACACCTAGTCTATTTTGCAAAGGGCATAATGAAGGTTGGAACTAACCTTGTTATGAAGTCACCAGTACTGAGCTATCTTCATGTGTCTTTGATATCCAAGGCAGTACTGTATTCAGCAGTTTTAATCTGGACAATGAGTGAAGCAAAGTTCTGCCCAGTATCCTCTTAGGATCTGAATGTCTCTAAGTCTACTGAGAGTTTTGGCTGCCTGGTCATCATTGCCCAGAAAGGTTGTGGCTACCCCATCTCTGGAAGTGTTTAAGGCCAGGTTGAATGGGTCCCTGAGCAACATGGTCTAGTGAAAGGTGTCTCTGCCCATGGCAGGAAGGTTGGAACAAGATGGTTTCTAAGATCCCTTCCAACCCAAACCATTCCATGATTCTATGATTCCATTATATGAAACTGTCACCTAAGACACCTATGGGTAGTCTCCCCAGATTTAGGTGGCTTAATCTGAAACACCAGCCAAGCCACTGGAAATCAGTTTCCTAATGGAAGTATTTAGGGCTGTTGAGATGCTTCTGGACATGAGACACCTGATGAGGGAAGGCTAACATTATTATAGTGTGGCAGTAGGTAGCCAGCTGGATAATCCCTGAAGGAAATGCAGCCTGTGGAAGCATCCACTTTGGAGTAGGGAGTGTATGAAGAAGATAGAGCAGCTGAGACATGCTGTTATGGACTGACAGTAACTCCCATCCCAATCCCCCTGAGCTGTGTGGGATGAGAGGAGCCTGGGGACAAGGGGGTGGGGTGGAGGAAGATGTAATTTTAATGTTTGGGTTTGTTTCTTACTACTCAATTGTGAATAAATTAAATTATTTTCCCCCAAGTTGAATCAGTTTTGCATGTGAGAGTAACTGGTAAGTGATCTGCCCCATCCTATTTTTCAGCCTGTTTTCTCCCACTATTTTGTTGATGAAGGGGAGTGAGAGAGCATGTGGTTGGGAATTTGGCTGTTAGCCAAGGATAACCCACCACAGTCTTAATAGCAAAAATCTAAAAAAAGTGACCAAACAGTTATAGGAGGTTATTATTTGGAATAGGTCTATTGGAATGGGCATGTTCTGAGGAATGTCCTGTTACATTAATGTGCATTTCCACTTTAATATCATGTTACTGGTATTTGGAAGTTATTAGTCTTTATGAGTTGTCCAAATAGGGTACTTTTGTCAGTTAAAAAAATTTATTGCAAAAAACTGTAATGAAAATTCAAAGAATCTTAAAGCATAATTCTTATACTTGTTCTAGAAGAAATCACAAGCAAAGCCGTCAGTTAAAAACTCCTGCATACTTAAGGACAGCATAAGGAATAAAAAGATCAGGCAGCTTAGATTTGGTTGATGTTACATTTAACTAGATACTGTGTGCATTTAGAACCTGAGCTGCTTTTATTTTCTTTTCTGAAAACTAAAATGTAAATGGAGAGTTTTCATGTGCAAGTTCTTAACTGAAACAGGTACCTAAAAATGCCAAAGGTTGTACTGGAATTATATCCAAGTTGGTAAGGACCTGCCAGGCAGAGTAATGTGGGCTTTAATCTGTGAAGGTCCATGGCACAACTGCCTCTGGAGTGGCGTTTTACTGTTTTGGTTTTTCCCCTCTCCTTTCTTCACCTTTTAACTTAGCAGAGACAGATCTATCCACTATTGAGCCCTTAGCAAAGATTTTGTTGGTAAGTGTAACCTGTATGAGCTGTTGCTCATACAGGAGTTCACAGAAAACTTGGTGTTTTCATAGAGGTATAGAATGGTTTGGGTAGGAAGGAACCTTAAAGATCACCTAGTTCCAATCCTCCTGTCACGAACAGGGACACCTTCCACTAAACCAGGTTGCTCAGAGTCCCATCCAACATGGCCTTGGACACTTCTAGGGATGGGACAGCCACAGTTTCTTTGGGCAACCTGTTCCAGTGCCTCACCATCCTCACAGTAAAGAATTTCTTTCTAATATCTAATCTAAACCTATTCTCAGTTTGAAGCCATTCCCCCTTTTTCTGTCCTTACATGCTCTTGTAAATAGTCTCTCTCCATCTTTCTTCTAGGTTCCTTCAGGTACTGAAAGACCCCAAATAGGTCACCATGAAGCCTTCTCTTTTCCAGGTTGAACAATCCCAATTCCCTCAGTCTTTCTCTTAGCCAGTTTTAACTGTTCATTTCCACATACGGATACACTCTTCCAAGGAAATAATTCTACTAAGTGTCGTAACGTGTTTAGTTGCTTGGTAGACCTTTACAAGTCAAAATTTAACCTTTATTTTTGTATTTAGAGGCTTGAACAAAATCAGTCCAAAAACATCTGCAAATGCTTGTGAGATATGGCAAATTTATAAACAAAGAAACCAAAGAAGAGAAAATGCAGAGAACGGGAGATTGACACCAACATGGTGTTACAGCAGGTCAGTGGGAGATCTGCAAACAGGTGAAGGTATCCTGAGCTACAGGGTACTGTGTACAATGTACTGTACACTGCCTCTTATCCTTCATCCATGGAAGTGGTGATGAGAGAAGACTGGGATGAGTTCTTTTCTCTGTTTAGACTTCAGCTCATATTTTGGGCACTGGAACAGGCTCCCCAGGGAATTGGTCACAGCACCAAGCCTGCCAGAATTCAAGAAGACTTTGGACAACACTCTCAGCACATAATCTGATTCTTGGGTTATCCTGTGCAGGGCCAGCACTTGGGCTTGAGGATCCTTGTGAGTCCCCTCCAACTCAGGAGACTCTGTGATTCTATGGGTAATTTAAGCCAGTGAAATCACTGACTTTTTCTGTCTTTCCTGTCTTTCTTCATTTAACACATCTATCTACTATGGGATAGTAAACAACAAGAATACAACTGGCTAAAGTATGATTCACAACATCACAGAATGGGTATGGTTGGAAGGGACGACAGTGGGTCATCCCAGACAATTCTTGAATATTTCCAGTTATGAAGACTCCATATGCTCTCTGGGCAAATGATTAATGCCAACATTTTCTTGATGGGGTAACCTCAACATGGAACAGCAGAATGATAACCACTATGCATAATTTAAATATTCCCAGATGAGAGATTAACACTTGTTCTTTCCACAGAAGTTTCCTTTTTTTTTTTTTTTTTTTTTTTTTTTTTTTTTTTGGTTTTTTTTCCCTCCTTGTCTGATCTCACTGCTTTTTATCATAGATGTTTCTCAATGTCTCTTTTCCCTACAGGAGGCCACACAGGAGGAGATTTTCACAACCTTTCCTCATTAGTCACACAGTGTCCACTCTGCCTGCTGTAAAATAGGAGGGGCCAGATTAAAACTGCTTTAGTTAAAGTTAAAAGGCAGAATAAAAGATCCAGTATTCCTGAGCATGCCCATTTTCTTGAGCACTTTTGAGAATGGATGCCCAGGATTCCCAGACTTTTAGGTTGGATCAAGTGGTCACTTCTCTAACAGCATGTAATTTTTCATTCTTCTTCCCCAGGTATTACCAGATAAGAGCTGGACTGAAGATCCCATCCAGAATTCCCCACAGGCTGTTTGCTACGATTGCAGGACAGACAGGTGAGCAGATCCTAGAGGAAGGTGACATGATTGTACGTGGGTTAGATGGAGGAGTGTGGGGGGGGGACAGGTGAGCCTGGATTTGGATCCAAGCCTGGATTTCCCTAATGTTCTGTAGTTGTTCATCTCTCTGTTCTGGTGTGGGTTTGGGCTGAGTTGGGCTTGTGTCTGTCAGAAAAGCAGAGGAAATTCTCACCATCTTATCTGCAAGCATCTCTTTTATACATGGTTCCTTACTGACAATTTTCCAGTTTAATATTCTTCTATGTATTTAAGGTTCTCTTTTTTTTTAAGGAAAAAGGTGCATTGTTCAATTTGGAAGTCTCCTTTAAATAAAACCCAAAATTATTAGACAAGTTTTATCTGTATAAAATAGAAAAAGTTAAACCAAAATCTGAAAATAAATCACATGAAAAAAAAATCCCAAATTCAAAATCTGAATAAAGAAATTTCTTTGCAAAATCAATGAATGTATAATTTATATATGTAGTCTAGGTTTGGAAAAACATCTTGTTGTGAAAAATCATCAAGGAAGAAATAAAAATATTTTTCGTGATATTTCAGTGTAATTTTGCTTTGGCATATCCAGAGCCACCTGAAGTTCTCCAGAAATGCCCTCAAATTACAGTAGTTTCTGGTATAAGTAGTGTTAAAGTAATGAAATATTCTCAGTATGAGGACAGACAGAATTTTACTTTCTTGGGGCAAAAATCACTCAACAACAAACAACAAAAAAGGCAAACTACTCCCTGTTGTAGTAGGGATGGCTGTACTATTTAAGGGAAAAACTCAAATATTTACTATATTTTCTTTTTTAAAAGAACAGTATTTTCTTCTCCCTCATACATCTTCAGTGTCAGGCCAATACTGAGGGTTCTTTTACCTCTTCAAGGAACAATTCATGCAGATGCAGGGGCAGAAGAAAGACAAGGCAGGCAGTGCAGTTACAGGATTAGCAGCTGACTTTCGTAGTGCTAATGCAATCCAGACTGGGCTCTAATAGCTTTATAGAGCTGACATCAAGACAAGGGGTATTTAAACTACTAAGGATTTAAACAGTTTCTCCTTAGCTATCTTTGCAAGTACTTCCTAATTGATTTCATAGATCTGCAAGAGAGCATCATTTAATGGGACTGAACTTAAAGGCACACAGGCCATACTGTTGTTTTTTTTTTCATACCACTGACCTTTCTCAGTATGAGAAAAGCTGGTACAGGACTAATTAAATTGTTGTGCATGTTTCAATAAGACACCCCTACTAAAGTAGCATTGCAAAGAAACCAGTGTGTTATAAAACTGTGAATAAACTCCTGCCTCACCAACAAGAATATAAAATAACTGACATTCGTGAGTTTGGTGTAAAGGAAATATTTTTTATCTTTCCCTTATTGGGTTCATAGGATCTGTGAGAACTGAAAATATGCTTTGAAAATGATTATGTAAATTTATGTAGTAAAATCTGTGAATATATGCAGTAATAAAATATATAAAATATGTAAATATATAAAATAAATAAGACTCAGTATTTATTTTCCAACACACATGGCTTTTTATTTTTATTAAACGTACAGGATTTACAATAATACCTTGCAAACTGGCAGCATTAGCAATGTTTGCTTCCCACTGGATGTTTTCAGCAACAGAGGCAAAAACCCTTGTAGTTTCCAATAATTCTGGAGAGGGGAAGCTGAAGTCTGTGTCCCTTGGTGGTGACCAACCAAATGTGTACAGCAAGGACTCTGTCCATGGCACAGCACTGACAGGTTGTAAAGAAAGCCTCAATGAGCTACTACATGGACCACAGTTTGGCCACATCCTGTCTATGTTTTGGGAAGAGAATGGGCTGTGTGGCTCAGTCAAATCCAAGGAGAGCTGTGCTGGAGCCAAAGAGCCCCTGTGATCTGGTCGCTTCTGTCATCAAGGCTGCACATCAGCTTGTATTGAGTCAGTATATGAACAGGAATATGCCTGAATCCTATCTGCATATGCACATATTCATAAAAATATATACATTTAATTCATACTCCTGAGCACTTTTAGCAAGGTGGGTTTTCTTAGGGACAAGACAATACTGGTGGCTGATGACTTTTCACAGAATCGCGCAATCATAAAATTTTGAAAAGATCTCCAAAATCATCAAGTCCAACCTTTGTCCAAATACCAACATGCCCACTAAACCTTGTTGTAGAGTGCCACGTCTACTCGTTTTTTGAACACTTCCAGGGATGGTGACTCCACCACTTCCCTGGGGAGCTTGTTCCAGTGCTTAACCGCTCTTGCAGGGAAGCTGCTTGCCTATCACCTTGGCCTCCAGGCCAAGAAAATTGTTTTGGTGGATGAACATTAAGAACAAAAGATATTTTGCATGGCATATAACTAAATAAGGTACTCAGGACTTTGATTTGAGTTCTGATTTCTTTTTTTTTCTCCATCCAATAGTACCATTTTACTAATTCTCAAAACTTCAAATAGACAAATTTTTTTTGAAAACTTGGCCTGAAAATGTAATTATAAGTAATACAGACTATTTAAGAAAAATTATCACCCGCCATGCTAGTCTTTATTAGATTGTAGAAGCCTTCCATCTAACTGTAGTCAATTAAATTGAATTATTGTCTAAAAGTGCAGATGGCCAAGGACAGCCAAGGAATGTGGTTCTTTCTTAATTTATCTCATACAAGGCAGGGGAGATGAGATGCAATATTTGTTCCAGACAAGTTAAGAAAAAGTAGTTGTGATTGTCCTTACACATTAACTCTTTTGATCGGTGATGTAGAAGTGTTTCATGTACCCACAGTTTTAAGCTTTTTCATAAAATGAAATATCTGACTTTAAGTGACAAGGAAAAAGTAGCACAATTTCCATTGTGGTATGCAAAGAAAAAAAATGAAAAAGTAGATCAGAAAATCATGGAATCATAGAATCTTTCAGGTTGGAAAAGATCTTTAAGATCATGTCCAACCATTAACCTCACACATTCAAGTCCACTACTAAACTATGTCCCTAAAATGAAGAACATTACTGTAACCTGTGTCTGAACTACACAAGTTCATGATCACTCTCACCGAATGCCTTTTCCTATAAATTAAGTATTGATCTGTGGTTACCTTGCACCTAAGACATAATTTGAAGGGTTATTTACATTTCTGATATGCTCCATAATTAACTGTTTGTGCCTGATTTTGATAAACAGATAGTTATCCTAATTTCTTTGTTAGTGTTTGACTATCTCAGAAAAGTTCCCAATGAAGGAATTCTGCTTCAATAATTAAAGAGAAATCTTTTCTTGTAAATGGCTTCTTAATGCAGTCAAAACAAGCAGTTGCTTTTAGTTGCTCATTAGAGCAAGAAGAAACAGCACTATGACTTGTGGAACAGTATGAAATTGCAGTCATTAGTTCCAATAACTTTTTGGAAGGTAATTTGTGCCTCCATTAACTGAAGATAAGGTTACTGCTTTTGAAGCATGAGAAAAGGGGGGAGAAATTTACGCTTTAGCAAACACATGGGCTTGTTTTCAAAGCTTCTTAAAATTAATCTGAAAATAAATATGCATTTAATACATATAATAATGCATACCTGAAAAATAAAAATTATATTCAGAGGGGACATCACTGTGAGAGAAGGTATTTTAGGGATGAGTTCTCTTAGAAAAATTCAGCTGTGAGATCATAAGAGATGACCCCATCCTTGGAAACATTCAAGATAGACTGGATGGGGCCCTGACCAACCTGATCTAGTGAAGTTGTCCCTGCCCATTGCAGAGGGACTGGAACTAGATTATCTTTAAGGTCCCTTCAAACCCAAACCATTCTGTGATTCTATGGTCAGACATTTTAAGAATTGTTAGTTCACAATCTAAACAGAACTAATTCCATGATATTCTAGAGAAGAGAGAAACAGAGAAAAAAGGCAAAAAGGAAAAAACTGAAGATATCTCTGACAGATGTGCTACTTTCTGCAAGATTCAATCATCTTCCATTCAAGGCCTTTCATAAATTTCTCAAGGATGGAAGCTGAAAAGACAGATTAGTGGCTATGAGATTTTCCATTGCAGACCCTAAACTAATCTGGATGCCCTCATTTCCCTCCTCCAGAAGCTGGGACAGATCATACAAGCCACAGTCTTGGAGATGCTAAACAGCATCCCAAACTTAAATTGAGACCTGGTTAGTGGAGAAAGCCAAAACTAGGAAGGGTCTGTAAGCACCAATATGTGCCACAAGTCTCTTTCCCTGGACAGTGAGTCTGAGACACAAAACTTCATCATCAGTGGCCACCTGAAGGTCTGTCAGGGGCAGAATCCAGTTGTTCACATGCAGAGAGCCAACACAGTATTTCTGCTGCTCGGGGTCGAAGATGAACTTCAGCTCTGGGGTTAAATCGTCCATACAGATGTTTCAGACCTTCCACTCCTGTGTGAATTGGACTTTCACAGACCTCTCTTTTCTTCCAGGTTCACTTTTGTGCCTTTGATTTCCCTGTACAGTGATCCTTGTTGCCTTTATTCTAATGGTTCAGTCTTCAGAGTCCTTTAAAATCCACCACTGCTCTAAAATGACTGATGAGTCATTTACACTGATTCAGTAGGTAAAGTGAACCCAGGCAACAGTTGTACCCATCTCTGCACTGATGCAAAAAACTACATGGTGTCCTATTTTAATGTCCCATACTTTAGTCAGGGAATTTTGCCACCTGAATTAATATTTGGAATAAATATATAGAGTGTCAGCTACACAACTATGTGACACAACAAATTAACAATCTTGTAAGTTTTTGAAGAATGAAATTCTTTTCAGATATGAATTATCTAACTAAAAAGTCTCTTAGATAACTGGCTATGAGTTCAGAAACAGAAATAAACACTACAAAAAGCATAGATCGTCTCTGTTTTAATAAAGCATTAAGCATTTAGGGAGAAAAACTTTCTGCTGATCCCAAGCAGGGCAGTTATTCCATCGTCTCACATTTCAGTATGTCTGAGAAATGAACCTTGGTTT